TGAATTGCCCAGACTGCCAAGGAGGTGATGGTCGCAGGGAGGAGTTCAGGTCAGTCACGAGAAGGCTTTTGTTCATGTGGCTTTAGTGAATGGGTCCACTGCCTGATGTCCCTGGTGCCTCCGGAGGCAAGACGGAGCCTCAGAAGGATGGGGCATCCAACGACTTGAAGACACACCGTCAGTGCTGTGTCAGTGTGCTAGGTCGAAGTTTCCCAGAGTCTGGTCCGTCTTCCTGCGTTCGTTTTGCTCCCAAACATCACGTGTTGGTTGTTCAGCATCTCTTTAAATCATTCTGATTCCTCCACAAGGGATGTGATGGCTGGATGTGGGTTTGGTTGCCCGCCTCCTAAATCGGAAGCCCTGGAGAGTCTTGCAGCACATCCAGCAGAGCCTGAAAGTCAGTGTTGCCAAGGGAGAGTTGGAGTTGCAGAGGGGCCTCCTCCTGTGAATCCACGTTCAGAAAGGCTTGGGTCTTTTCCTGAAAATCTGTAGTGGAGAGGAGTTCATTGAAAAGGCTCATGGTTTCTAGACAGTCTTGGTCCAGTGGACGAGATGAGCCTTGAGCTGATCGTGCCGGCTCTTGCCACAGGTGTTTCTCAGGGTGTCCGGGCTGCTGAAGTGTCTCTTGGGTAGGTTCCCATCTGGCCATCACACCCTGGGCCACCTCACAGCCCCAGTGCATGAAGCGAGGTGGGCCTTGCTGAGCCAGGACCTGCCCCTCCTTCTTTGGATTCTCAGGCTGAGGAGAGTCTTGGGTGCGCAATCCTGCCGAGACAGTGTGTTGGCTGGGATCCTGGTCATGTCCTGGGTATTGGGGCCAGGAAGGAGTCTGAGTATCTGACAGCCTCTTTCCCACGGTTGATTCTGTTGGCACGTGATTTAGACCCGTCCCCAGGGCATGAGAGGTCTCTGCTGTCTGCCCAGCCAGGTTGGGCGGGACCATCATGACACCTGGTTCTTGGCTGACACAGCCTGGGTGGGATGCGAAGCAACAAAGGGTGTGTGGGACTCCAGGAGAAGAGGGAGGATGGCTTGGTTGCTGCTGGAGGGATAGGAGGGTAGGCCACAATGAGGCATGCTCTGGACACAGGACAGGTTGCTTCGGTCAAGTAGAAGCATCCCATGAGTTGGGTTCTCTGCCAAGGACTTCACCGGCGCACTTGTGCTCTGCACTGGGTTTCGAGTTCTTCGGTTCTGAAACCATAAGTGAACTCGGGATTCTGGAAGGTCCATTCATTGAGTCAGTTCTTCCCTGGCCTCCATACCAGGCTATCGGTTCCTCTCAAAGTCTTCAACTAGGAGACTCCTTTGAGAGCTGGTGATGGATGTGTGCCTTCGTCTGGCTGCTTTGGGGAAATTTTCCAGGGACCAAGGCTGAGGCTCTTCCTCACCCTGGAATGGCTCTTCTTCTAAGGTGCATCGAGAGGCCAAGCAGCTCTTCTTCAGGTGACTTGCTCTGTGGTTTCAAAACCATATGTGAATG